CAGAGGTGGGGATGCCTGGGGGTGGGCTGATGCACCTATGTGAGGTGTCAGAGAGGATACCACCCCCTCAGAGGCTGAGCCCTTGGGGGGGGGGGCTCCAAAGCCCTGGGCAGTGCCCAGGAGAACAAGGCCTTGATTGCAGCAGTGGTGGGGATAGGCACTTCTCTCACCCTGCTGCTAATGGGGACATCGCAGGGGCGACGTTATGCCGCCAGTGCGGAGAGCTGGGGTGTGGTGCTGGTGCCAGGGACCCCAGTTGCAAGTCAGCCCCAGGATCGGGGGATCAGGACAGCATCGGAGGGCAAAGCAAGCCCCTGCAGCACTTTGCTGCGGGTGGGCTCCATCAGGGGCTTCCCAGCCAGCTCCGAGGTCACGGCCTGATGTGCCCCAGCTGCTCCTGACCGCGGGCACCTGGCTGGTCCCTGCCTCCCCTCTGCCCCAGGCCAGAGCAGAGGATCAGCATCCTCTGAGCGCCTAAAAGCAATTGGGGAGAGAAGGGGAGCTGGAGATGGATAGGAGGAACGAGGGGCCTCACCTGCTGGGAGCGGAGTGGGGGGGTTGGCACTCGGCTGTCGCACAGGGGGGCTCTGGGCAGCCGCTCCCTGCCGAGACGCAGGGTGAGGGCGGGCGGGGAGCTTTGCTGAGTGCAGCAGAGACCCCCCACAGCCCTGGCGATCGATGTCCTGGCAGCGGCCGCTGCGCCTTGCCCCCGCCTTGCACGTATTCCAGGAGCTGGGCTCCAGCTCACGGCGCCTCGCCGTTGTTATGGCAACGCAGCAAAAACCTGCCAGGGTCGGCACTTTTCCTCTGGCGCTGGGGTGGGCTTCTCCCACGCGCTGGCCAGGGGCACAGGGAGCCCAAGCCCACATGGCATGTGCCAGGATGGGGGGGGTCCTCTGCAGTGGTCTGGTTGGTCCAGCACCCCCAGCAGTCAGGGGCATTGGCACCGTGGGAACGAAGGTGTCTGCGCCCAGTGGGACGGAGGCGGTGCCTTTGCACGAGTGCTTGTGCACAGCCCTCGGCGTGCAGCATCTCCAGGGGCACCCGTTGTGCGTGCATCTGAAACGGGCCGGAGGCCTGGGAGGCACACGGGGGTTAGATGCCCAGCCCGCACCCCTCGTGCTTGCTCTCCGGACTGGGACAGAAGTTTCCTAAGCCACGACCTAAACCAGTTAAGTCTGATGCTGCGTTCAGCCAGGGTTATTTTAAACCAGTTTCAGACATTTTGAACCGAACTTCTGTTCTGTTACCTGTTTACGTCAGATTCTGATCACATAAACTGGTTTCTGTGCAACTTCTGTCCCTCGCCTTTCTCTGCCGCGGTCGTGCCCACGCGCTCCAAGGCCAGGTTGGGAACCAGAGTGCCAGCAACTCCACGGGGCCCCGTTAGCCTCCTCGCTGGACCCCCTGCATGCCTGTGTGTGTGTCCGTCCATCCACCCACCCCAAGCGTGCGCCCAGGTCTGACTCCTGGCCTGAAGTGGGCTCTCCACCTGTTGTGGTCCTGTAGATGCTCCAGCCTCCTGTTGCTGCTCATCAATCGTGCCCAGCCTCGTGCATCCAGTGCGCTGCGCTGCACCTGGGAGGGGAGATGAGCCACCCCAGGTAGGGAAAGAGAGGGCGGCCGGACTCCCGTGTGCCTCAGTTTCCCCCCCGTAAACCAGAGGCCGTGACCCTGAGCAGTTCTCGCACTGAGCCAGAGGGGCTGGAGCAGCCCTGCGGATCTAAGGCCCTGGGGGTCACTGCCAGAGGCCCTGGGGGGCAGTGGGACGATGCTGGGGCTATGAGAGCGGCGTGCCCATCCCCATGTGTCAGGGCCGGGGCTGTGAGAGCCGGGTTAAAAATAAACAGTGCGGCAGATGGAGCAAATGGAGGGAAAGCAGCTAGCAAGCAGAGGATGGTACGCCCACCCATAGCACTGACAGTGGCAGCCCCCTTCCCTCCCCCCCCCATGCTGGATAGACGCAGGGGGCTCAGCTCCGATGCGGGCAGGCCAGGGGCAAGGCCCTGCGAGAGTCGGGGGAGTCTGGGGAATGGGTGCATGTGCCCCTTGGCCTCTGCGCAGGGTGGGGGAGGATAGGAAAAGGGGCTTGGGGGCAGTCAGGACACCGGGGTCCTCTCCCGGCGTCAGGCGAGCGTGCCCGCAAGCAGCAGCTCCCATGCGACAGCCCCTCGGGAGCCGACCCAAGGGAACTGCGCCGGGCGCGGAGCCGGCTGACGGCCCACGGCTGCTCTGGACACGTGTGGCCCTGGGGGCCGGGGGGCAGATTTCCTCCGCTCCAGCAGCGTTTCCCTGGGGCCCAGGGCTGCATCACGGTGCTGCTCAGGCACCAGCACCAGGACGGGGAGATGCGAGAGAATCGGCATGCGGGGGTTTGAATGGGGGTCTCCAGCCCCCGGCTGCTCCCCGCTTCCCAACACAGCAGGCAGCAAAGGTTCAGGTCTTTATTTCTTTAAAATCCCAGCAAGTTCAGGCGGCGGCTGATGGACACCTTTACAAAGTGGGGGGCAAGCCCCCCAGCCCTGCCTGGAGCCCCCCGGGAGCCCCGGTGCTCCTGGCGGCAGGGCGCCCGCCTTGCCAAGAGTGCGGCATCTCTGACCGCGGAAACCCCCCTCCCTCCCACCCCAGCGTGGCACCGAGTGCCATAGGGTGCGACCGCCGGATTGGGGTACATCCCAACTTCTTGCCTGTCCCACAAAGTCTCCCAGCAATGGCTGGGAAGGAGGATCAGAGCAGCACCCCCTAATCGCCCCCCGCCCCCGTAACCCCGGAGCCTCTAGCCGACCGCTGGAGGCCGAGTTATAGCACCTGATCTGGGTGAAACGTAAGAAAACTCGGCCCTGGTCATCCGGCACAGACTCCCCCTCTCCTGGTCCCCAGCGTTACAACCTACCATGCCCTCCTTCCCCCAGCACCGATCGAGAGCCCTGCTGAGCTCCCACCCTGTCCTGGAGGGGGTACTTCTCCCATGATACAGCCCCCCCCCCCACTCCCACATGCATGCTCATATTCGCCCACCGCTGTCTCTGGCCCTGCCCAGCCACGAGACCCCCGAAGCCCAAGTCCAGACCACGGCTGCACCCGTGGCAGAGGGTGGGACTGTCCTGCGCACTCGCTCCATCCTCCTGGGCTGGGATCCCGAGCCCCTCGATGGTGCCAGCAGACACAGGGCAGCTCTGGTACCTGCCCAAAACCCCTCTTCCGATGACCCCAACTGGGTTACTGAGACCACAGCCAGGCCCCGCAGCCCCCATGCTCCCCCAGGCCTGCAAGCAACGGCTGGGTGCCTCTGTGGGCCACAGCCAGGCTTGGACCCCCTGCTGCAGCAACCCAGCCCCTCAGAGAGGTGTGGCAGGGGTCTCCGCAGTGCCTGCCTTTGCCCCCATCTCCAACCAATGCCATATTTACAGGGTCCAGAGTTCAGCCACCGGACGGACGCTCTCCATCCACGCGGCATCGCAGAGCTGGCGTCCCCCGGCTGCACCTCCGTCCAGTGCCTAGCAGCGGCAAGGCAAGGCTGGGGGCAGGCGCCCACCAGGGTTCAGGTGCCTCTGGGCATTGCCGTCGCCCTTCTCCGCACCCAGGCCCAGTCGCCAAGTCAGGATCAATTAACCTCGTCCCTGGGGAATTCAGCCCCCAAGAGGAGCGCCGTTTGGGGCAGGATCCCGGGGGCAGCCCTGTCCCCCCAGCAGTTCTCCCCCCAACGCGCAGTCCTCTCCCACGCCATCGAGTCCCTGGCAAACACCCCAGCCCCTCAATGCTGCCCCGCGCCCCTCCACGGGCATCTCGGGCCGCGTGATGACGACACGCCCAAGGAAGCAGGTATTTACAAAGCTCCCTGCGGCTGGGGGAGGCTGGGGGCCGGGACCGAGGGTTACTCCTTAAACCTCCGGTTGGCTTGGATCTTCTTGTAGTAGTTGTCCGTCTCGCTGTCCGCCTGCCCGTCCTTCTCTCCGCCCGCCAGGCTGGCCGGCTTCCTCCGCAACGTGGACTCCCGGCTGGCCGTGCTCAGCAGGCTCTCCTCGCCGCCGCCGGCCGCCACGTTGATGGTGGCCACGCTGCCGTAGCGCGGCTCGTCCTGCTCAATGTCGCTGACGGAGGAGCCCGGGGGCACGCCGGCGCTCTTGGTGGGCCGGAAGCCGCGGTAATCCTTGCCCATCTCGTTCAGCTCGTAGGCGTCCGGCCCGTCCGCTCCCTTGGACGCCGCCTTCCACTCCCAGGGCCCGTTGCCGGAGGAGAGGTGGACGACGGGGTGGTGGGGGGCGTGGGCGTCGATGGTGACGATGCTGGAGCTGTCCCGCTCTGACGGGGAGCGGTACTGGGAGGAGTCGGAGCTGGTGGAAGACGAGGACGTCTCCGAGTGCTTGGGCGTCACCGTCACCAGGCCCTGCTGCTTGGACATGGCGATGACCTGCATGAGCCGGGGCGGGTTGGCCACGCGCTGGGACGCCCCCTTCTCCGCCATCATCATCCACTTGGCCCTCACGGCCGAGCTGCTGTTGGGCGACAGGTTCACGTTGCCCTGGCTCTCCTCGGGGATGTGCACCAGCTGCGAGGCGCCCGGCCGGGGCTGGATGAGGACCCGGGGCCCCATCGCGGCCCGCTCGGCCGGGCGCGCCTGCACCGTGGGGTAGAGCGAGGGCGGGATGTGGTCGTCGTCCTCCCCGCCCGCGGCCTCGGCGGCCGCCCTCCCAGCCTCCTCCGCCAGCGTCATGCTGCGGCCCTCCAGCGACTTCTGCTTCCACTCGGTGATGAGCTGCTTGGAGCGGGAGGCGTCCACGGGGACGTGGATGGTCATGTGGCGCCGCGCCGGGTCGTCCAGCGAGGGCGTGTTGACGCGGGGCAGCGTGTTGCTGAACGTCACCATGTTCTCCTTGCCCATGGGGCTGCGGGGGGCCAGCAGGTCCACGTCCACGCTGGCCCGCTTCAGGCTGCCCAGGGAGTTCTTCTCCCGCTGGACCTGGCGGTTCACCTCGTCCAGCCGGGTCTGGGGGTTGAGCTCGTCCGTGCTCACCGACTTGTTCTGGTGGTACACCGAGTCGTGGCCCCGCTGCGTCAGCGCCCGCAGCGCGTCCTTGGCCGGCGCCTGAGCCGGGGCCTTCTCCGTGGGCGCGCGGAAGTTGCCCACTGCGTGATAGGCCTGGAAGGACAGGGGTCAAGGGGCATTGGCCTCCCAGCTAACAAGGGGCTGGGAGCGAGCATCTCTCCAATGCTGCAGGAGGCATTGAGATGCTCCTGGAGGGGGAGGCCGAGGGCGCTCCCTGCCCCAGCCCTTCATGCCCAGGCCTGGGGCAGCTGCCAAAGGGGCTCTGCTCCCAGCGTCGGGCTCCCAGCCCAGGCAGGGGCACTCACCAGGTAGGCAGCAATGCCAGAGCCGATGAGGAAGCCCACGTAGACGTCGATGGGGTGGCTGCGGTACTGGGTGATCTGGGTGAGGCCGCAGACACCGGCGGCGATGGCAAAGGCAAAGACCAGGATGGGCTTCAGGAGCTTGGTGCTGTCCGAGATGATGGAGTTGAAGTACATCTGGAAGGGGGCAGAGCAAGGCGGGAGCCGCCAGTCAGAGCCACAGGCCGGCGGTACAGGTGCAGCGAATGCCTGGAAGCCAAGGGGGTGCAGGGCAGGCAGCCTCCGTGGCCCCTTCCTCTCCTAGGAACGCCTTCTCTGTTCCCCAGGGTTGGAGGCACACCTGTGCTTTAGGGGGTTTTGCACACGTGCGTAGGGAAAGCTGTGCAGGTGTGGGCACTTGTGTGTGCATACGTGTAAGGAAAACCCCAGGTACCTGCATGGGCAAAGCACTCCGTGTGCTTTCACTTCATGAATGTCAGAGGGGCATTTGCATTTGCCTGGTGGGACAGTGCACGCGCGTGTGTGTGCGCGCACGCACACATACATGCACGTATGTTTACGCGTGTATGCGGGCATAAGAGCATCACATGCATTTTATCCATGTGTGCATGCACGTGAGAGCATCACATGCAAGTTTACCCACGTGTGTGTGAGAGCGTCACTTGCAAGCTTGCCTGTGCGTGCGTGCATGTGTGCATGTTGGAGGGCAGTGGGGGTGGAAACCATGCAGGCCAGCCTAGAAAGAAATCACACGTGTCCATGTGCACAGAAGGGTCTCACGGGCAGGATCACGCGCTGCCCCGCCCGTGTTGTTTCCGTGCGGCTCGGTAGGCGTGCAGAGGACACGAGATTTCCGAGGGTGCCGGCTGTGCTTGCTTGGCCTCGGTGAAATTTCAGCCCAGGCTCAAGTACCGGTACACACAGCGTGTATGCACAGACACGTGTACGCGGACACCCTAGATGAGTGCAGGGCAAACTCACCGACACGTAGACAGCGGCGAAGGCCGAGAGCGTTGCATGCTGAGACGGGAAAGTCTTCCTGCAAGGAGAGAACGGAGCTGAGCTAGAAGAGCCTGCTCCAGCCCTTGCCCCTGCCCAGGGGTCCATGCCTCCAGCACTGGGGGTGCCAGGGCAAGAGGAAGGCCCCTGTGACCCAACAAGGGAGCAAGGGAACTGCCCAGCCCTGCCTGCCTCAGCCTTTACCTGGCAGAGAGGATGGCGTGCTGGTCAGGGCCCGAGCAGATGTCCTGGGTGATGTAGGGGTTGGAGTCGCAGGAGATGCCCAGCAGCGTGTAGTTGGGCTTGCAGACGGTGAGGAAGAAGGGAGCGTGGTAGCCCGTGGCCAGCTGGATCACGTCGGTCACCAGGGCTGTGGCGCAAAGGCCAAACACGTGCACGCCTGGGGAAGCCAGGAGGGGGTTGCAGGCGCCTCCCCCACACCCTGCCCCCTTCCCACCTCGCTGGGGCTTTTGAGGGGGCAAAGGGCAAGGGCATGCTGCAGATCCACCCCTTCCTTCCTTCCCTGGTGAAATGCAGCCACTTCTGGGGGGTAAGGCAGAGCCCACAGCAACAGAGAAGGCCGAAGACTCCTTCCCCAGAAGGGAAGAAAAGCCGAGGTGTCCTCAGGCAGGGGTAAAGCAGGGAGCTTTGCAGAAGCGCAGCGGGCACAGGATGGTCTCTGCCCTGCCAGGGGTCATGAGCTGAGGCCTTAGAGGTGCCTGTGCTCCTCCTGGCTCCCCCCTCGACCCCCCAGAAAGGACAAAGGTGCCGCAGCCAAACCTACCCACAAACCTGACCGTCCTGCGCAGGAAGGAGTTGAAGTTGCAGCCGCCAGCGTTGATGCTGCCCTCGGCCCCGCCGCGCCCCTTCAGCTTGGACTGCAGGCAGTACACGATGCCCTCGCCCACCATGATCTGCGGGCAGGGAGGAGGAGGGGCAGACCTCAGCGCGGGCATCCCCCCAGCCGAGGCGGAGGCCGGTCCTACCTCCTCCCAGCACGGAGCAGGGTCCGGGCACCGTGGTTGCTCTCGCCACCCTCCTGCCCCTGGCACCGCCCGGCCGGACCTCGAGCCCTCGCAGCCTGGCACTGCCCGGAGAGGCGCACGGCGTGGCAGGGGCCAGACCGGCCTCGGCAGAGAGGCGCTGGGCTCTCCAGCCCCGTGGAGGCAGCTGCCGATCCGGGCCCCAGCACTCACCGAGGCGGCCGGCGCCGCAAACGCCAGGCTGAGCAGCATGAGCAGAGGGATCATCTCCTCGTTGGTCTCCACGTAGGGCATGGAGAGGGCCCGGTCGTAGCACTGGAAGCCCACCTTGGCCGGCTTGAAGAGGTCCGTCAGCTCCAGGAAGTACAGGGTCACGATGGAGGAGGCTACGATGGGGAGCTGAGGCCGGTGGGACATGGCAGCCGGTCAGGAGCCAGTGCCAGCCCCCGCGGCCTGGAGCCCCCCAGCTCAGCCCCGTGAAGGAGTTGGACCGGGAGCCCCCAGTGCCCGCAACAGAGCTGGGCATCCACATGCCGCCTCGCCCCTGCTCGTCCCGCTTGACCGCGCTGCCCTCCCCAAACCTGGGCTGGGCACCCAGGAGCTGGCCACATCCTGCCCGGCCCCGGGATGGGACTTCAATCCCCCCCGACCCCAAAGCTGCCTGGGGAGCAGAGCCAAAGCTGCTTCCCAGCCCCTTTTGCTCTAACCGCTAGACCACGCTGCCCGGGGGGAAAAACCTGGCACCCAGCCCTGCGCCCTGGCCCTCCGGGACGGCCCCAGGCACTGCGCCAGGGGGACCCTCGGCCGCACAGGAGCCGTGTGGCCCGGGGGGCGGATAGAGCGGCCCTGGGCGGGCAGGAAGGGAGCTGAGAGCTACCGCGGCCCCCTCCATCTCGGAGCCCCTGGCCCGGCCCCCCCACGCTGCCCCGCTCACCTCCACGAAGTAGAAGCAGGGCAGGAGGGTCATGCTGTCCTTGGGGGCCTTGGACTTCTCCTTCGGGGAGATCATGGTGTCAGCGCGGGGGCCGCCTGCACGGGGCAACGGGGGTCAGTGGGCACTGGGCTGCGAAAGGGGCAGAGCGGGGGGGCCAGGCCTGGGGCTGGGGGGGCGGATGGAGGGGTCCCGGCGCCGCGCTGCAGGGGGGCAAGCCAGGTGCAGCATCGGGGGTGGGGGGAGCCCCAGGACAAAGGCGCTGGCCCAGCCTGGCAG